CTTAAATTGCAGCAGGGTTTTGGCATATACAGGTTTGGGGGGTAGGCAGTTCCATGGGTCTATAACCCTGTGGGGGAAAAAGCATCTCCTGTTTTGTCCTACATTGAGGCTTGTTGAACTTGAATCCATTATCACCTCTTTGTGTTACATCTGACCTTTTGAAGATGTGGTCTGGATCAATATCCTCCAAGTTGTTCATTACTTGGACAGCATTGTCCAAGTATTTTATATATACTTGTATAAATATTTTAAAAGTATAGCATAGACCATGAACTTAAAATCAAAGCAGAGCAGGTGCTTGAATGCAGTGGTGTACTTTTGTCACATTTCATCCTAAAGGAATGCAGTTTGGTATCAGAAATGTTATGCTAATGTGTGTATATTTTACAGGGTTACGAGAGCGAAGCTAGCAGGGTTCTTGCTCTCGTTGATGACATCAGTACCCTATTGGGTGGAGACCACAATGGAGCACCTCTTGTGTCACGACAAGCGTCTACACATGCCCTAGTGTGTACCCCACCTCTTGTGTCCAACCCATCACTCATGGCTACACCCACACACATCAGTAACAATTACATGTAAGTCAAATTTCACTGTAAAATGTAGTAAACTTTAGTATAACTACCTCTACTGACTTCTTGCACTTTAAACTTTACATTTTTCCCAATATAGTACAGCATTCAAATGAAAGATGTCTTAGTGCCTCACTCAGTTCATGATAATGGCTCAATAATGCTCAACCTGGAATTCAGCTGAATCTACAAAGGGTCTTGAGGCATTGAATTGATACTGAATCAAGTTTTTACACATTACCCACATACACATTGGTGTGCTATAGTTCTTCCACTAATGCTCCCTTCAAATGCACAAAGAAATGACAGGAGTGTGATTTATCAGTGAGAAGATCAATTGGAGCCATGCATAGGATTCAAATTAGCACCTGGGTGCTCCCAAGCACACATCTTGCTTTGGCATCAAGAAGCACATCAATAAACTGGAAAAAAAGGCAATGACATGACACTTAATGGCTTGCAGAATTGAAATACAGGCATTACAAGGAGAGGCTAGAGGTGTTAAATACACTAAAGCTAAAGGACAGAAAAAAAGAGGGGATATGATCATTACGTACAAAACGGTAACAGTTATCGACAAAATTGACTAAGAATAATTCTTGAAAACAGCAACTTCAAGAACAAGAACCATGGACTCAAACTAAGGAAACAAAGTAGCCAAATAAGTATTAGAAAGTCCACTTTTGCAAACAATGTAGTAAACGATTCGAACAAGACAAGTGTGAAGGTGGTGGAAGCTAAGCCAAAACCGTCGGTAGTTTCAAAGTGTCATGTGATAGGACGGGACACCCAGAGTGTAGGTCTCATCCTGTAGTTACCTGAATTTACCTGAGGGGCCACTAATACTAGTGGCGTCGATGAGGACAAGAAGCTGGCAGCTTGTCAAAGGTCCCCCCACTTGCCCTGATGATCCTTTCCAGCTGTACACTTTGGTAATTACACTTTGACCTCTTGCAGTGTTCAAAAGAAAACACAACAAGCCCCTTCAAGGGATACCTAGTCAACCAGGCTGTGACTTGTATTTCAGGTTATAAGCAGCTACATTGAACAGTCTGGTTAGGCTGTGGGAGCATTGATCCTCAGAATCATAATCAGGTGGCCAACAGGTAGGTAGGTAATTACTGATAGGTAAGCACCACCCACCCATAACACAAACCAACCTATACCATCAACCAATTGGTAACAATATGTAGCGTTCAGCAAACCGAATTGCTGAAAAAGATACAAAGTGATTATAAATATAAATTATTTAATTTTTTCATTATAGGAGAGAAGACTGTGTGGATGGTTTAGTAGAGAGTCCACTGAGGGGAGGATTGATTGGGGGAGTTACTGTCGGCATGGGTCTTCCGCCCACCGCCACACTGAAGTCACAGTCACTTCCACGAGCTGTAACTCCAGTCTACTCCCAACACCAGATGGTATGTAAATTAAAACTTAATTAACCTACAGTAATTTACAAAAATTCTCTAATGTTCTCATATAAAGCATCTCTAAACTAAATTATTTACTTCTTGATAATGCTTTATAATTTTTCAACAGGCCAGTGGGAGCCCTGGGCCAAATTTCTATCGACAGAAGACTGCAGCAAATGATCTATCTACCAATGATGAATACGTTCTCATAACAGCATTTGACCATCGCACTGAACCACAAAACTATATGTGCCCCTCTATGTATGTAACTAAGAATGTCAATTTTATAATTCTAATTCCAGTATAATACTTTTTATAATGCCACTTAACACAATGTGTAACACAATATTCATGTGTAACTGTACAAATCTCTCTTATATTGATCATTAGATAATTCTGGTATTGTTTTCCGAAGAATTTAAGTTACTGTATTAATTTTCTAATTAAATTGCTTAATAACCAGTTGCAGTATTGCTACAAAGAATCAAATATTCACATTCTCATATGATAAATTTTACTTGACAGAGAAGCAAATAACAACAATACACCCTTGACTGATGTGCGTCTCAGTAATGGAAACACATATTATATGGCGGAAGTAGCCCCACCAGAGTCTCCTCTACGACAAAGTGGCTCACCAGGACTTAATCATCCAGGAGTTCTTCACCAGCCCATACGTGGCCACCTACATGCTTCCCACCAACCACGTCTACATCCCAGGTATTCATAACTGTTATCATTACTCCAATTTCAATGTTAATGTTGTTGGGAAGCAGAGAAGGTAGAGAAACAGCATAGGGAAAAAAAAGGAAGATGTTTAGGATTAATCTGAGCTATTCACTGTCACTCCCAAACAGATCGTCGTAGAGAATCGGCATCATCACACTGCAACAAATCTTTAATAATAGGAAAACTCAACTGCTAGATAAGACTAAATGTAGAATGACTTCTTACAGGTTCATATCCCCCCCATCAATAAACCATTTCCACCTAGCCCCTTCATGAACTATTGATGCTCAATCCATATTATATGTTCTAAACACTTCCTCACCCAGTCTTCCCATGTTTTTAGTCTGTTCACAGCATACCCATCTTTATTGCCTTCCCTGACTGTCTTGGAATCATACGTGTGGTGCCCACATTACTTACAACCGAATCAAACTACCACACACTACTTCGAAAATATATATTCTCAATAAACATACTAACCACAGACAGTTGTGGTTAGAGGAGCTAACCACAACTGTTCTCAACGAGGCCACTAGCATTAGTGGTACTCAGGTAAAATTCAGGTAAACATGAGATCAGATATTATCTCAGGAGGGACTAGAGAAACACACAACACAATATATTTTGTAATAACATCAAGAAGATTCATTCATAATCAAATGAAGCCCTCAAGTTCTAATTGGCATCACAGGGAGCACTAGGGTCTGTAGTACCTTGACTCATATTTGAGAATCGCAGGTTCTCTGCCCAGGTGGGACAGAAATGGTTGGGCACGTGTACCTTCACGTGATGCCTCTACTTATCTAGCAGTAAACAAGTACCCTGGAATTACTCAACTTTTTTGGGTTACATCTAGGGGAAGGTCAGTAGTTAACCCAGGGAAACGTCAATAACCTAAATACAGATTTCTTGTCCCCAACAATTGGAATTACAAAGAATTAATCTGGCTGCCAGTTGCCCTCGCAAGGCCACTGCGAAGATCGCCACCAGATGGCAGAACTAACACCAACTCTGGTGCTGGTTCTAGACTTCTGCCTCTTCACTCTTTTCTATAATTCTACACTTGTCAACTACTCCTGTTTTATGTAATTCTACACGTTATCTTCCCTGATCACTCAGTAAGGTGATAACGATTTAATGTTTACATCCAGCCTTACTACCTTTTCATTACCTTGTTCAAATGTACTACAGTATTATAATATTTAATTTATAAGACATAAAAGTATCAGATTACTAAGTACAGTACAGTGTGTGTGTGTGTGTGTGTGTGTATATGTTATAAAGCTATCAATTGCACAGTGTTTAAGACAAAACTTAAAATACTGTACAGTAATTTGATAAGATTTCAATTTATTGGGGGTTTATTAAATTTATTAAATTTAGTTAATAAGAGAAGCTAATGTACTGTATACAAATTGTTAAGGAAATTTAGCAGATACTAGACAGCTCTTGGGCACCTTGCCTATTGTCCTAGCATTCAACACATTTTGTGTAACACATTTTTGATTAAGAGTCATTCCCACTGCATATAAGCTTCAAGATATTTATCATATTGGGAGAAAGTAGTTCCTATACCTTTCATCATTTAGTAGTACAGGTATATTATATAAACACATTGCAGCTTAGCACCTTCTTTTGATAATTACTTACTGTACTTGTATATACATTGTACCTTCTTTAGCATTACCCAGTAGTAGATCATGCTTATTAAAACAACTGCTCATGATATGTGTGGTTGAGGGAATATGTCCAGTTTAGCTGTTACAGTACCTCCATTCTCAATGTACATTACCAATGTCCATGCAGTTGGCAGTTTTTTATAGAAACTCGGTAGAAAGCACCTGAATGACTGAATTATATATAAATACCTGTACTGTACTTAAAATACGAATATAGCATTAGCTTAATATTGTACAGTATTTAGAAGTGCGTGCACTATCTAACATATTCAATTACTGTATATTAATTTTCAATAATTCAATTGCAGAGCCACAACCATGTCTACAAGAAGCCATTCATTGAGTGGAGTTACACCAGTCGGTGAAAGGCGTGGGTTATATCAAGACGAATGTTCAGAATTATACAGCTACATGGATTCATGCTCACACCAAATACATGCTCTCTGCATGGACAGTGAAAATAATATTCAGGGATCTCAAACATCAATCTCTCAGCTTTCAAATATTGCATCCTCAGGATACCAAAGCTTTGCATATTCGCAATCATCATCCCCAGTTGACTCTCTTTTGCATACGGATAATTCCAGTTTACTGTCGCGTGAAAATGGAAATCCAGGATTGCCTGGTCTCAGACAAATTCTACATGGATCCCCACTAGGTAAGTGGTATCTTAAAACTGGCAAGCTTTCATAGTTTTTATCAAATTTGAGGGCTAGTCAGTGGCATAAATTAATGCCACTGTATTAATTCATTTGCTTAAATTCATGCAGCATTCCATATATAAATAATTGCTTTAGGCACTATGTGCTAGCTTCTAGGCAAGTATTAGCCAATCGGCTGCTAAAAATGAATACTAAATTTGCATTTCTCTAGCATTGCTGATCATACCAGCTTCTCCATTAATATCCACAAGGAATATGCTTGTTAATATGCTTGTGTGTGTGTAATGTTTCCACAGCCTCACCCTTGCATCATCCAGCTGCTTCCAAGCATCGTGCTGTGGCAGTACACCCAGCACACTTAGGGTATGCAGGACATGTGTCACTTCATGGTACACCAAGACACATCCCTAGAGTCCCTCCACCCAAAGGTACATTTGTTTGCATCAAAGTTAAAATTCCTTTAGAAGTACTATCTGCTCTAAAGTTTAGCACCTGCATTTAGAAGCAGATTTTTAGCAATTTGAACTCCAATATTTTCATTTTTGGAAGAACGAGTATTATATAATGTATGAAAAGAGCATTGAATCTAGTTGTATCCCATCATAACAGCATTTAGATACTCATTTACCCTCCCTACTTATCATGGTACATAGGGAGTCCAAACAGCAGCCTCAGTTCCTCGCAGAGTGTAGAGGATCTGTCTTCGCTTCGCCGGGGCCGCACCCGCCAACGTCGCTCTGCTTCATCATCTTCCGATTCTTCTCCTGATACTCGTCCTGCCTCACACTCTCATGCCCATTCTCGCCGTCCTCATGCTCACCCCCCTCGCACCAATCCCCACTGTTCTCCACGCTTGGCACCAAACCCAACGTTAAGGCAGGAACTTAGAGCCAGGTCTCGCAACGACCGTAGCATTAGTGCAAGAAGAGGAAGAAATAATAGGTGAGTTTTTCTTTCATTTCTGCAACAATCTAAAGTAGCAGAAAAAAGTACATTACTGCTTGCACAGACAGGATTTTCTTTAATACCATATTCACTAGTTGCCCATCACATTCAGTTTGCAAATACATAATCAAATTCTTTATTATCCTGTAAATAATTTAGTTATAACAGCTTTTAAGATTAATTTCATAGAGTTAAAGTGGAGAACTGCACTTTTATGTTGTAGCATACAGCTTTCACCTTCAAGCACAAGTGTTAGTAACTATAAACATACTGACTGGGAGAAGAATGGTAGGAGACTTGAATAGTGTAATGAAAGGCAGGAATGTTAGTACAAGAGTAAAGAAAGGATAGGTATGATGTTGTTATCGTCCTGACATGAAGTAATACTTGAGGATGGAGAAAGACAGAGTGCTCAAGAATACAGTAGAAATTATTTATCATAAATAAAGGAAGCTAGCATTAGCGTGCTTGATGTTTATAGCAATGCGGAAGTATGTGCGTGATGTGGTGTCACTGATGTGTATCGGATGTGGTATGAGTGACGAGTGAGTGAATAAAATGTGGAGTGAGTACACAACATGGTATGGACATGTTAGCAGATTGCCTATCAACTGTTTAGAGAAAGGTGAACAAACATTAAATTGAGGGATCTTCTGAGTGAGGCAAACAGCCAGTGTCTTTGAAAAGACGTGACAATATATGAAAGAAAAGGTTGGGGAAGAGGTCAGAGAGCTTGAAGGAGTGAATAGTTTGTGTTGTGATGGAACCTTTTGTAAAAACGTCTGCTATGGGTACACCCTGTTGGGCAGCTCCTGCAAGGCAGTAAGGTGTTAGTACTATAAATGTAAGAGTAACTAAGGAGTAAAAATAATCATAATAAATCTATTTGTGTGACCCCTTTATCTCAAATCTTGTGACAATGTTAACAATTACAAACTATTTATGTAAAATTATCTATGAGTTTGAGACTCAGTGTAAGGTATATAAAGTGTAAGGTATATAAATATGGTCCCTTATCTCACATCTTGTAGTGCAGTGTGTGTGTGTGAGTGTAATTTCCCAAGTGTAGTTACAGGATGAGGTCTATGCTCGTGGTGTCCTATCTACCCAGTACTCATCATAAAATGCTTTGAAACTACTGACAGTTTTGGCCTCCACCACCTTCTCACTTAGCTTGTTCCAACCGTCTACCACTGTTTGTTAAAGTGAATTGTCTTATATTTCTTCAACAGCTTCGTATAGTTAGTTTAAATCTAGGGAATCAGACATTTCCCTAGACATCGAACATTTCTCCAGTTTGATACATTCTCTGATTTCTGCCCTCATTTTTGTCAGAAAATTTGTCATCCATGTTGGAAGCCTCTCTGTGTATGTGTATGTGTATGTGTATGTGTGTGTGTGTGTGTGTGTGTGTGTGTGTGTGTGTGTGTGTGTGTGTGTGTGTGTGTGTGTGTGTGTGTGTGTACTCACCTAATTGTACTCACCTAATTGTGCTTGCGGGGGTTGAGCTCTGGCTCTTTGGTCCCGCCTCTCAACCGTCAATCAACTGGTGTACAGATTCCTGAGCCTATTGGGCTCTATCATATCTACATGTGTGTGTGTGTGTGTGTGTGTGTGTGTGTGTGTACTCACCTAGTTGTGCTTAAGGGGGTTGAGCTTTGTCTCTTTGGTCCCGCCTCTCAACTATCTATCAACTGGTGTACAGATTCTAGAGCCTATTGGACTCTATCATATCTACATTTGAAACTGTGTATGGAGTCTGCCTCCACCACATCACTTCCTAATGCATTTCATTTGTTAACTACTCTAACTTGGTCTGTATGTGTGTGTACTCACCTATTTGTACTCACCTATTTGTACTCACTTATTTCTACTCACTTATTTGTGCCTGCAGGATCGAGCTTGAGCTGTTGGACCCCACTTTTCTAGCCGTTGGTTGTCTAATGCAATGACTCTTGGTCTATTTCTCTATCATACCTCCTTTTAAAGTTTCAAATGGAGTTTGCCTCTACAACCTGCTCCTTTAGGTCATTCCATTTACTCACTACCCTTACGCTAAAAGAAAACTTTCTAACATCTCTATGACACATCTGAGTCTCCAGCTTCCATCCATGCTCCTCTTGTTCTATTGTTATGCATTGTAAACATTTCCTCTCTTTCCACCTTGTCAATCCCTCTAAGTATTTTATACATCTGTATCATGTCCCCCCCTCTCCCTCCTCCTTTCTAACATCATCAAGTTCAGTTCCTTCAGTCTGTAGGTGTCTGTGTGTGCATGAGAGAGAGAGAGAGAGAGATATAGATAGATAGATATAGATAGATGTAGATATATAGATATAGATATAGATATAGATAGATATAGATATAGATATAGATAGATATAGATAGATATAGATAGATATATATAGATAGATATATATAGATAGATAGAGATAGAGATAGATAGAGATAGATAGAGATAGATATAGATAGATAGAGATAGATATAGATAGATATAGATAGAGATAGATAGATTGAGATTTAAGGGAAAAATATACAAGTGTGACTCTTATCTCAGATCTTGCGACAGAGAGGACATCCCCCGTGGACCCACTCACTGTTATGAGGACTCCGAAGACGATGTAAGCGTTGTGACTAGGTCATCAGGAGGAGCTGGTGTGGGCAGCTGGGTAAAGGATGGGAGGCACATTAGTCAGGAAGAATACCAGTTGCCTCTTAATATAGCTCCACAAAATATACTGGACCAACAAGAAGATCAAATGAGAATTATAGTGGAGAGGTAATTAAGTACAGTATTTCTTTATACCAGTATTTTTTCTTAAACCATGTTGGTTCCCATTATCAGCAGCAGAAAGCTACCTGTAGTTCAGCTCCTTTACATCTCTCTAGCCTATTTCCTTGTTGGGCATCATAGTGGATGGGTGGGTGAATATTAGGGCAGATAGAAGACTGGGTGGGTGGTTACAGAATGGACATAGTGGGTTGGAAGTTGGGCATTTGGGTGTGCAGGCAGTAGAATGATTGGGTGGCAGGGCAGGGCAGGGCAGGCAATGTGGGTGGGCAGATGGGCATTTGGGCATGCTGGCAGCAGAATGAGTGGGTGGCAGAGTGGGTGGGGTGGGCAGCTGAGCGGGTAGGTGGCAGGATGGTTGGGCAGCAGAGTGGGTGTGCAGGTGAGTAGTTGGGTGGGCGGGTGAGTAGCAGGGTGTGTGGCAGAGTAGGGATAAATTATTGGGATCGTCTAAAAGCATTCCAAATGTACTTTCTAAAATGGAGACGAGAGAGATATCAAATAATATACACATGGAAAATACTAGAGGGCCAGGTCCCAAATCTACACAGTAAAATAACAACATACTGAAGTGACTGATCTGGAAGAAAATGCAGAATAGAACCAGTGAAAAGCAGGGGTGCCATAGGCACAGAGAACACTGTATAAACATCAGAGGTTCATGATTGTTCAACACACTCCCAGCGGATATAAGACATATTGCTGGAACAAACGTGAACATCTTCAAGAGAAAACTAGATAGTTTTCTTCAAGAAGTGCTGGACCAACTGGACTGCGGTGAATATGTGGGCCTGTGGGCCGCTCCAAGCAACAGCCTATTGGACCAAGCTCTCACAAGTCAAGCCTGGCCCTGGCCCTGGGTAGTAGACCAATTCCCAGAACCCCATCCAGGTACAATCCAGGTACATTCCAAAAATCCCTAGACCAAATAAAAGACCCCTAGATTTAAGATATGCAAATGTCAACATCTTCAAGAAAGGCAGAAAAAGTTCAGCAGAAATCTACTGGCCAGTCTAATATCATATCTGTGCATTATTTATTGCTGTATAGAAACTTGAAAATTAATGGTTGCTTTATATACAAATAGAAAAGATTACAATGTGAAGTACCCTATGTTATAATTTTATAAATATAAATTATGATTATTATACTTCAGGCTAATGAGCATGGAGCAAGAGTTCCGCCACGAGCAAGAGATAATGCGAAGAGAGATGCATAATAAGGATGCTCGTATTGATGCTCAAGCAAAGAAGATTGCAGCCCTGGATTCAGCCAACACAAAACTCATCCGCACTATTGCTTCTCTAAGTTCACGGTTGGTTTTGAAGTACAGTACTGAATAGTATGTCACTTAAATATCCGTGCTGCAGTGTATTGTAATAGAAATAATAGCGGCAAGTTTCAAATTGTTAAATTGATAATCTGTATAAAAATTTTGATAAAAATACTGATAAAAGCCCAATAAAAATTTTGATTTTTTTTTTGTAATTAAATAATTTAAATTTTTTTTATTAGATCTGGAGAAATGAAGCAAGAACTGCCTGGTGACACCACCATTGATTCCTGCAACGCATCCGACACATCCGATTACAAAAGCTCCTCCTGTTGACTACACAACTGTAACCTTTGATTGAAGTGTCTAATTGTAGAAAACCTTTATTTGAAATAATCCATTGTTGGATCACTTCAATTTAGCAGTAATGAGAAAACATGTATATAATGTACTGAAGTTGATATACTGTAATGTTAAAAAAAGATTTTGTGCACAGGCAAATATGTTGACCCATCAATCTGTGTGTAAAAAAAAAAAAAATTAGTATCCAATATAAAGAGCACATTCTCTTGTGTTTCTATACTGGGCATTTAAGTACAATATTTTTTATTCCTACTACATGTGGTCCTCAGAAAAACAGTCTCCGTTTTGAATATTTACCTCGTGTGCCCTTGTTGCACATCCTAGTCCAATCTTTCATACTTATGATCTTTCCTTTTGTTAATATAACTTAAAACTCTTAAGAGTAACGTCACGCTTGACATTCCATCACTTGTATTAAAATTGTATCTTCTCAGTACACAATGTAAAAACTATTGTTCTCAGTTATGTTAAGCAGTTCAATATGGTCTTTGTACTGCATTACCCAAATATTTTCCTTATAAATATACCTTCTGTGAATGCAGATATTGTATACTAAAGACATGCATGTATTTTTTTAACTAAAATAATATATTACCTAAACTCGCATTGGATTAGATTCATCTTTTGAAAAACTATTATTATTATTTAGTTAAAGATTAAAGTAACCTCATTATCTTACTTCTATATTGTCAAAGCTGTGAATTATGTTTTTTTTATTTGTAAATAGAACTACAATAGAAATGCTTAGTTATCTTACTTTGTATAGTGTATTAAGTGTGGACACTTTGTACAGGTATGCTTTGTTTATATAGTAGTTCTTTGTTAGGTATACACGACTAAGAACACCAAAGATTAGATTTATTAGTCTTCATTTCTCAAGCTCAACGTCAGTGCAGTGCGTCCGACTCACTATCTTATGTACATTAGCATACTGTAGATTTATTGTAAATAATTAGAAAATATATTTGTCCATATTTAGTACACAAGAAGAGACGTGTAACTTTTCCACATTTCCTGATCGAGATTTTTTGATACCCATCAGAGTGTATCAAAGAAATATAAAGTGCTTATAAAGCACTCGTTTATACTTGGAAAGCCAAAGGTTTAACAAGGTTGTATATTTCTGTAGGTCCACATCAAAATGTGGATTGTGACATTTGTACTAAACATGTTATAGACAAAATAAATTTACTGATTATAAATTTAATGTGAAATTTACTTGAACAACCCTTAATTTAACTAAATAATGCATCAAAGGATGCCTAAAGCCAATAATACGCACAGCGTTTCGGTCAAGGTGTGGGAAAAAAACACTTTGATTAAAACTTAATACTAGATATCATAGCATAAATTGACTTGAAAAAGGAAAACAAAAATGGTGGAAATCAGTAGTTACACAAGTTGGTCAACAAACAGTTTTGTTTGAAAATAGCAAGACATGGTTGACATTTAGGGGGTAAGGTAAGTTACATGGAGTTTATTAGATAGTACTACTTAGTTTTTTCTTTTAAACTGGTTGAGAGATGTACAGCCTTTGACGTGATTGAGAAGGTCATTCCACATTCTGGGTCCCTTGACTTTCAGAGCATTTCTAGTTTGGTTAAGTCACACTCTTAGAATATCAAATAGGTATTTGTTTCTGGTGTGGTGCCAATGGGTTGCGTTACAACATTCTAGGAAGTGTTTAAGATCAGAATAGGCATTACAATTCAGAGTTTTAAATATATATAGACTACTTTTGAGAGGATGTGCAGTGACTTATTAATTAATATCTAACATTTTCAAAAATTTAAGTAAGGGTGCTGAGTGCTGTCTGGAGCCAGAGTTTGTTATTGTTCTAATAGCAGATTTCTGTTGAGTAATTAAGAGGACGGAGATGATTTTGGTTATTAGAACCCCAAGCACAAAAACTAATTGAGATAAGGATAGATAAGAGTAATAGAGCATCACTACTGCCCATACACACACTCTGGGCAGTAGTGGACAGCATACCCATCTTATGTGTGGTTGTAGACCCCATACCCATCTTATGTGTGGTTGTAGGCCCCTTACCCATTCTACAGGTGGTAGTTACCCTATACCCACCCTGTGGGCAGTATTGGATCCTATACCCATCCTGTGGGCGGTAGTAGACCATAAACCCATCCTTTTGGCGGTAGTGAACTCCCATACCTATCCTGTGGGTGGTAGTGAGCCCCATACACATCCAGTGGGCGGTAGTGGACCCCATACCCATCCAAGAAGTGGTGGTGGACCCCATACCCATCCTGTTGGCGGTAGTGGACCTCATACCTATCCTGTGGGAAGGATAGGTAAGTAAATCGTGAGGCTCCATATCCATCCATTGGGCATTGTGAACCCCCATACCCATCCAACAGGTGGTAGTGGACCCAATACCTATCCTTTTGGGTAGTAGTGGACCCCATACCTATCCTTTTGGGTAGTAGTGGACCCCATACCTATCCTTTTGGGTAGTAGTGAACCCCATACCTATCCTTTTGGGTAGTAGTGGACCCCATACCTATCCTTTTGGGTAGTAGTGGACCTCATAAACATCGTGTGACTTGTTCTGGGACCCTATAGCCACCCTGTTTGCAGTAGTGCACCCCATAGACATTCCAACTTCACATCGTTTTCTGTTAACGTTCCTATAAGCCATTCTCTTTAAAAAATTTGAAAGCTTATACTATTTTATATAATATTGTTTAGCAAAAGCATCATTATTATATCTATCTATCTATCTATCTATGTAGCTAGTACGCGTAGCGCCACTACACCTCGGAGACTGCTAAATGTAATATGTAATGATATATAGTGCTTATTATAATTTACTGAGAAGCACCAAGATTTCTCCTAAATGCTAACCCCTTAACAGGATGCACTGTAGAATAGTGGTTTAAATCATGGTTTGAAACACAAGTTGACACATAATGGAGACTTATTATAATTTTTTTTTAACTCTTTCGATTTTAGTAAAGAAAGCGTTCATGTGTCAACAGCTATCATCTTCGCTGACGACTTCAGTATTTGGGGAAGTGAAGGAGTGGCTGTTGGCCATTGATAATTGACACTTCAGACTCGCAAAATGTTAACCAATGGGGTGAGTTTTAGGGCGAATGTCAACCAATCAGCGGCCGGGTTTGGATGGCTGCTGGTTATAAAAGGAACGATGAGACAGAATGCACTTCAGTGTGTTTTACCTCACTTTTGGTATACAGTTCCAGCTTCGTCTCCTGAAGGTGAGCTTTGTAATGTGGCTTACTCCCTTTCCCTCCCCCCATGTTGCGTGCCCCTCCCCCAACCCTCCCTTTCCCTCCCCCCACACTCCTTTCCTCCCCCCCCCCCACACTCCTTTCCTCCCCCCCCCACACTCCTTTCCTCCCCCCCCCCACACTCCTTTCCTCCCCCCCCCCCCCCCACACTCCTTTCCTCCCCCCCCCCACACTCCTTTCCTCCCCCCCCCCACACTCCTTTCCTCCCCCCCCCCCACACTCCTTTCCTCCCCCCCCCCCCCCCACTCCTTTCCTCCCCCCCCCCCACACTCCTTTCCTCCCCCCCCCACACTCCTTTCCTCCCCCCCCCCACACTCCTTTCCTCCCCCCCCCACACTCCTTTCCTCCCCCCCCCACACTCCCTTTCCCTCCCCCCCATGTTGCGTGCCCCTCCCCCCACACTCCCTTTCCCTTTCCCCATGTTGCGTGCCCCTCCCCCCACACTCCCTTTCCCTTTCCCCATGTTGCGTGCCCCTCCCCCCACACTCCCTTTCCCCATGTTTCGTGCCCCTCCCCCCCACTCCCTTTTCCCTTGTTACGTCCCCTTCCTTTCCCCCCTGGTTCCTCGTATTGGAACTAGTGTAGTGTATGGGGGGGGGAACTACTATTTCAGAATTATCTTGAAGAATCGAAGGTTGGGTGAAGTGCGCATAAATTGTTAGTAAGAATTTAAAACAAAAGGATCAATGCATAAATGTTCGTAATAAGGCAAATCGGACACTTGGATTTATTAATCGCAGCGTTAGTAACAAGACACCTGGTGTGGTTCTCAAGCTATATCTTGCTCTAGTTAGGCCCCATTTAGATTATGCAGTTCAGTTTTGGTCGCCATATTATAGAATGGATATAAATTCACTTGAACGTGTCCAGCGTAGGATGACTAAGTTAATTCCCCAAATTAGAAATCTTTCATATGAAGAAAGATTAACAAAGCTTAAGTTGCATTCACTGGAAAGGCGAAGAGTTAGGGGTGACATGATAGAGGTTTACAAGTGGATGAATGGACATAACCGGGGGGATATTGGTAGGGTATTAAAAGTATCAACACAGGACAGAACACGAAACAATGGGTATAAATTGGATAAGTTTAGATTTAGGAAAGACTTGGGTAAATACTGGTTCAGTAACAGGTTGTTGATTTGTGGAACCAATTGCCGCGTAACATTGTGGAGGTGGGGTCCCTCGATTGTTTCAAGCACGGGTTGGACAAGTATATGAGTGGGATTGGGTGGTTATAGAATAGGAGCTGCCTCGTATGGGCCAATAGGCCTTCTGCAGTTACCTTTGTTCTTATGTTCTTATGTTCTTATAATGCTGCGTGTGGCACTATAGGAGACACAAGCTGGTCCCTGACGCTCCTCTACCCTCACTTGTATCGAGAGGCTAGCCGTTAACGTCTGGCCTACAAACTTTTTTTTAATTTAGTTAAATATATTAAAAATTTCTAAGTGTACAATGATGGCTAATTTTTTGGAATGTTTAATATCAAATTAATAAGATTAAAGTGTTTGTATGCCTACCAAGTTCAGCAGGCTGTAGATTTAATTCTAGGAATGTGTAAATGGTTAAATCTACAAACCATGAACCGGGATGTTAATCTTTGTCCATTCATTGTTTGCCTTACGTTCTCTACCATAAACGCTAACTATATAGCTACCCGAGGTATATATTAATCGTAAAATTGCCTTAAATTAGCATAACATTTCAGTGGATTTGTGTTCATGACTTCAGTGTAATGTAAATAATTATAACTAGATTACGGAATAATTCGTCCCGACCATTGCAATTGAACAATAGTTAACTACAGTTTCGTAATGAAATTATCCGCTCGCCGGTGGTCGCCACAAGGCGGTCAGAAGCTTGACAAACGCGCCTAGAGAAAAATTTCGATGCTAGTCGCCGGACACCTTCCTTCAGCAGCTTGCTTTAGCAGTTCAAAAAGTTGTAGTTTGGTAATGTACAGTATAGCCATGCACGTAGATTCTATTAAAGTTACTAGGTACGTCAGTGTTAACTTAATCTGCTAAATGTAGATAGTGTAATGTAGCGTAAATGTAGAACTAAAAGATTTGTCAGCCACTTTTACAACAAAGCATTAATACTTGTATAGTTTGTGTTACTCCCCCCCCCCCCCACAAAAAAAACTAGTTCCCCCTAGTTTGCCTCTGAGCGTCTACAAACGTGTTATCTCCCGAGCTTAGAGGTTAAGCAAATGGTTTACGCTTCTTAGGTCAGCGTAACGGTTACAAATTTAACAAATATCCTGCTTAACTTTCCCGTGTAATTATTGCAAATAAGCTACAAATCGGTGAGTTTTACCTTGCCTTGTTAACCATATTCTTGAACCAGGGTTAAGTCTAAATGCACTATCTTGAGTCTTTTGTGATACTTTCTAGATTCTAGAATGCTTCTGATTAAAATACTGTTGTGGGGTGTTTGAGGTCTCCTGGGGACCCCACTACATGGTCCCAGACGGCTCCCTGGTGGTCGTGGTCCCGTCTCCTAAATAAAGCGTTGTCTGCACAGGTTTCTCCTTTCCCAAGTCATCCTTCAGAGAAAGCGTCTCTACAGGTCTAAAAACGCCAACCGGTTTAAAACTTACTAGTTTCATAACTCTAACAGTAGATTTATGTAAAGGAAGCGAGGAGTGTAGATTAGATCTAAAAAGTGCCATCCATTTAGATAGGATGTGCAAAGTCAATAAAGCGTTCATGTTTACATTATTGTTGCAGGAGAACGAGGTAAATGACCACGAGGGTTGTTTTAACCAGCATAGCTCGTCCGGTGGCGAATTCTGATGTTCGGCGACTCTGATTGGCCGAGGCGATGAGCGCTTCCATAAACTGGAGCTGGACAGTACTCAACTCACTCCCACCAGGTCGACATGACGTCCTTGCTAGTTAACGTCGTCGTGGGTTGATTAGACTTGCCCTACTGTGAGTGTTACGTTCTTTACGTGTCTCCTAAGGATAGAACAGTAATGACTTTGAATTAAGACGATATAGTCTGAATTGTTGGAAACATTAACTAAATATAAATTTTCATGGTGCGTGAATACTAATATCTTCAGCTGGGATCAAGCAAACTCTTACTGCTAGTCTTGGCAGGAGCTTCCAGCTAGTTACTATCGGTGAAGGATAAGGACGACTTCTTGGAGCTTTATAGCCGTAAGAGTTTAAATGTCATTAGTGTTTATAATGAAGTTATTAAAATGCACGTGCATTAAACTTTATAGTTATCCTGCTGCATAGATTTGATTGTCAGTAACTGATACTTTGTTACGTGGGAGCCAGTTCATATGGAAAGGGACGAGGACTTGGCCATCCAGGTAGTCCTACACAAACCCCTCACTGGAGGGTCAGAATGGCTTGTTTTATTTTATTCGTCACTACTCAGTCATAACATTCTGAGTGTTTGATTTTAAGTGCAGGTTACTTAAGGGTTTAGACGGCTGTAAAGAGGTCTATCAAGGTTTTATTTTTAACCTTGTGATAAGAATATGGTGATAACTCTACCCTTTCCGTCCCCAGGCTCGGCCGACCACAGCTAGACAAGGGAAGGCAACGAAGACCGTCTCGGGGTACTGAAGAACGTTGGTAAAATTAGATGGTGACCTCTTATGTAGAAATAATTGGTAAATTGAAAGAAAGTAATGACCAATAACGACGGCATGAAGTGGCGCGATATTGCCTGTCACCACGTGAAGTCTGTCGCCTGTAAGACCAGCCTTTGATAGTTTTCTGCCAAAAAATAGCCTCGTTTCCTGAATGATGTAAAATATTAAAATATTTAACTAGCTCATAATCTTTATCTTAAACAGGAGGTATCTTGATGCTACTAAGTATCTACACAACTTGCCATTAAGGACATGAAGTGTTGTAAAGATTATTGTGAGGGAAAAATTGTTTAACTAGTAGGTTATGGGAACCATTAATTGCTTGACTACATTAGCATGGCATTTAGTAAAATACAGGGGGGGGGGGGTATATATGAAATGTGTACACCATTTAACCCCCCCCAAACCACTCTAGATTACTTATAAAACCTGATTGTGGGACTATTTTGGGCCTCGCTAGGCGTCTACGATGAATGATTTTTGGCCTAATTTTATTTTGGGCGAGTTTGTATCGAAGAAATTTGAACGCTGGCTAGACTCTCCAGTGTCCTAAAATGCTTTTAAATTTTTATATACTGAAACTTATTCTAATTTATCAATTAAATGACATGTTGAGCTGCATATATATCTTTCCACTACGTCAGTTTACTACCATATTGGTTCTCCATATAATCTCTACAAACTAATAGTTGTACACATCATAAATGCATCTTTGTAGATGGCAAAATGAATTCTTTCTAGTTTGAGGAAGATGAGAGGGTTGGGGGGGACTTTTGAACGAGTTTCTAGAAAGTTAAAGAATTTAATTGGAAACATCAGAACGATGTAACTTAATTTATTAATTTTGGAACGAGACTGATGCACGAATGTTCAGTTTTGACCTCGTTACATATCGGTTTTAAAAAATGTGAACTGAAATTTAAATGATTTATGGTCGTCCTTTTAACATGACTTTACCAGTCTTAATTCATCTACCAAAAGAAGGGGGGTAAGTAATTATCAAAGGCACCAAGCCGGGAGAACACAAGTCTGTGGCTATTTAAAAATGATAATACAGGGACAAGTAGAGGGTTATTAAAGGCCTCAAACTACCATTTTTCGCACAGCCCCGGAAGAATATTTACTTTAAAAGTACTTAGGCAAAAATCTCTTCGTGAACCTAACAAGATGTGCATTTGTACGGAAAACATAGTAGAGCTGTTCGCTGCATGGAGGTCACTAGATTACTTGTTTACATGCATCGCAAAAAAATTTAACCATGCCAGTTCTATGTAATCACGGTATAACTGGAAACTAAGCCTATGCAGGTCTGCTTCCAATTTCTCTGCAGACCTGTGCCACCTCATTGTTTGCCTGCCAATGGGTGATTTTTATAGCACTTTTGAAAGTTTATAAGTAATTATCAAAAGGCACCAAACCAGGAAGGCTATGTAGCACCATCAAATGTGCGGAATAATTAGAGGGCGCTAAATATCACCAAGGATGCCAATACGAGAACAAAAACGCATAAGGCGAAAGATATCAAATGTCAAAGAATTCCATTGAGGGACAGGTGACCGCGAGGGGCGGTCGGAAAGTATGACACACGCTTGAAAGTTTATAAGACCAAGTTAACACTATGGTAGGGCTGTCCTACCACGGGAGTAGACTTCGTAATGTCAAGGCTTTGTAAGTGTGTTTACCACCCATAATGTCAAACTTCAGTGGCATTACTAAATGCAAGACAAGAGGGAGTATGTAGGGATTTGTTGGATGGAGGGGAGGGTTAAGTCGATCCAGTTTGGAAACTGGGTTCTGGGGGTCTTTTTAACACTTTCAAACTGTACAAGATGATCCAGGTTGTAGCGCCTGTACCTGTAGGGACTATAACAGCCTAGTCAGACAGGGCCGTGAGAACATTGTGCCCAGCAGTATTAATCACATTTAAACAAGGAAGAAAGGAATAAAAAAGTGTTTGAAGTAGCAATTTAATATTGAAATTCAGAGTAAATAAACAACGCGAGGTGTCGTCCATTAGAAGGTGAGCTCTTAGATCGGAAGATCTTAGTTCCAAGATGCCCTGGCGACGGGCAGGGCATAGTTTTACTCCATCCTTGATGTCCTTGTACGTTGATGTAGCGAGACTGTTCTCGTTGCCTTCTCTCATCCGGTTGTAGTTGGCCGGACCTGAGGACGAGACGAAGTTAACATAAGGAATGTCAGGTTTAAAATAGTTAATATTGCAATTTTTTTTTTATTTTTGTTTACCGTTACATAAAAGAAGTTAAGTCTTCGTAAGATACTAGCCAACTCCACTAGCTCCCACAGGATGAATGGGGAGGGGGGGGGGATCCCAAGAAGTCACAGGACGCGTGTGGGGCCCAACTAGCGGCCACCGGACCCGTGTGGCGTCCTGTGGCTGCTAGTGGGCCCGTGTGGGGGCCCACTAGCGGCCACAGAACGCGTGTGGAGGTCCACTAGCGGCCACAGGATCCGTGTGGGGCCAACTCGCGGCCACAGGACGCGTGTGGGCACCCCACTAGCAGCCACAAAACGCGTGGGGGCCCACTAGCAGCCACAGGACGCGTGTGGGGCCCACTAGCGTCCACAAGACGCGTGAGGGGCCCACTAGCGGCCACAGGACGCGTGAGGGGCCCACTAGCGGCCACAAGACGCGTGTGGGGCCCACTAGCGGCCACAGGACGCGTGAGGGGCCCACTAGCGTCCACAAGACGCGTGAGGGGCCCACTAGCGGCCACAGGACGCGTGTGGGGCCCACTAGCGGCCACAGGACGCGTGTGGGGGCCCACTAGCAGCCACAAGATGCGTGTGGGGCCGACTAGCGTCCACAGGACGCGTGTGGAGGTCTACTAGCGGCCACAGGATCCGTGTGGGGCCAACTCGCGGCCACAGGACGCGTGTGGGCACCCACTAGCAGCCACAAAACGCGTGGGGGCCCACTAGCGGCCACAGGACGCGTGTGGGGCCCACTAGCGGCCACAGGACGCGCGAGGGGCCCCACTAGCGGCCACAGTACCCGTGTGGGTTCCACTAGCGGCCACAGTACCCGTGTGGGTTCCACTAGCGGCCACAGGACTCCTGTGGGGCCCACTAGCGGCCACAGGACTCCTGTGGAGCCCACTAGCGGCCACAGGACTCCTGTGGGGAACACTAGCGGCCACAGGACTCCTGTGGGGCCCACTAGCGGCCACAGGACTCCTGTGGGGCCCACTAGCGGCCACAGGACGCGTGTGGGGGCCCACTAGCGGCCACACGACGCGTGTGGGGGCCCACTAGCGGCCACACGACGCGTGAAGGGCCCACTAGGGGCCACACGACGCGTGAAGGGCCCACTAGCGTCCACAAGACGCGTGTGGGGGCCCACTAGCGGCCACAAGACGCGTGTGGGGCCCACTAGCGGCCACAGGACGCGTGAGGGGCCCACTAGCGTCCACAGGACGCGTGAGGGGCCCACTAGCGTAAACAGGACGCGTGAGGGGCCCACTAGCGGCCACAGGACGCCTGTGGGGCCCACTAGCGGCCACAGGACGCCTGTGGGGCCCACTAGCGGCCACAGGACGCCTGTGGGGCCCACTAGCGGCCACAGGACGCCTGTGGGGCCCACTAGCGGCCACAGGACGCCTGTGGGGCCCACTAGCGGCCACAGGACGCCTGTGGGCCCCACTAGCGGCCACAGGACTCCTGTGGGGCCCACTAGCGGCCACAGGAATCCTCTGGGGCCCACTAGCGGCCACAGGACTCCTGTGGGGCCCACTAGCGGCCACAGGACGCGTGTGGGGGCCCACTAGCGGCCACAGGACGCGTGAGGGGCCCACTAGCGTCCACAAGACGCGTGAGGGGCCCACTAGCGGCCAAAGGACGCGTGAGGGGCCCACTAGCGGCCACAAGACGCGTGTGGGGCCCACTAGCGGCCACAGGACGCGTGAGGGGCCCACTAGCGTCCACAAGACGCGTGAGGGGCCCACTAGCGGCCACAGGACGCGTGTGGGGCCCACTAGCGGCCACAGGACGCGTGTGGGGGCCCACTAGCCGCCACAAGATGCGTGTGGGGCCGACTAGCGTCCACAGGACGCGTGTGGAGGTCTACTAGCGGCCACAGGATCCGTGTGGGGCCAACTCGCGGCCACAGGACGCGTGTGGGCACCCACTAGCAGCCACAAAACGCGTGGGGGCCCACTAGCGGCCACAGGACGCGTGTGAGGCCCACTAGCAGCCACAGGACGCGTGTGGGGGCCCACTAGCAGCCACAGGACGCGTGTGGGGCCCACTAGCGGCCACAGGACGCGCGAGGGGCCCCACTAGCGGCCACTGGACGCGCGAGGGGCCCCACTAGCAGCCACAGGACCCGTGTGGGGTCCACTAGCGGCCACAGTACCCGTGTGGGTTCCACTAGTGGCCACAGGACCCGTGTGGGGCCCACTAGCGGCCACAGGACTCCTGTGGGGCTCACTAGCGGCCACAGGACTCCTGTGGGGCCCACTAGCGGCCACAGGACTCCTGTGGGGCCCACTAGCGGCCACAGGACTCCTGTGGGGCCCACTAGCGGCCACAGGACTCCTGTGGGGCCCACTAGCGGCCACAGGACTCCTGTGGAGCCCACTAGCGGCCACAGGACTCCTGTGGAGCCCACTAGCGGCCACAGGAATCCTGTGGGGCCCACTAGCGGCCACAGGACTCCTGTGGGGCCCACTAGCGGCCACAGGACGCGTGTGGGGGCCCACTAGCGGCCACAGGACGCGTGAGGGGCCCACTAGCGTCCACAAGACGCGTGTGGGGGCGCACTAGCAGCCACAAGACGCGTGTGGAGCCCACTAGCGGCCAAAGGACGCGTGAGGGGCCCACTAGCGTCCACAGGACACGTGAGGGGCCCACATGCGTCCACAGGACGCGTGAGGGGCCCACTAGCAGCCACAGGACGCGTGTGGGGCGCACTAGCGGCAACAGGACGCGTGTGGGGCCCACTAGCGGGCACGAGATGCGTGTGGGGGTCCACTAGCGGCCACAGGACGCGTGTGGGGGCCCACTAGCAGCCACAGGACGCGTGTGAGGGCCCACTAGCAGCCACAGAACGCGTGTGGGGCCCACTAGCAGCCACAGAACGCGTGTGGGGCCCACTAGCGGCCACAGGACGCGTGAGGGGGTCCACTAGCGGCCACAAGACGCGTGTGAGGCTTACTAGCAGC